CAAGGGGAGCCCCCAGCGGCCCCCAGCCAGCCCAGGGAAGAAGTGGCCCGTCGAGACCCCGGCCCTGGGTGGGGGATGGAAAGCAAGGGAGGGAAAGAAATGCAACCAAAGCGCTGCCCCTCTCACCTGGCTTTATTCCCAGAGTCCATCAGGTCCTGGATGTCGTTGTAGGAGGTGACGGCCAGCTTGGAGAGGTCCTCGACATAGGGCCCCAGGAGTGGGTGCTCCCTCACCCTCAGTTTCCCCATATTCTTGGGGTTCAGGAGGTCCCGCACCCGCTCACAATAGATCTCCATGTAGCTGACCTAGGGGACAGAGCACACAAGGTAGGAGCCTGACAATGCGGGAGAGGCTGCCAAGCCAGTCCTGTCACGCAGCCCGCCTCGGACAGTGCCTAGCTCCAGCGGCGGCCTCGCGCCAGCCAGCGAGCGACGGATTCCAGTGCCTGTGTCTGCGAGGGCAGAGTCCGGCGGCAGGGCCGGGGCGTGCAGCCAGCTTTCCGCCAGCGCTGCAGCCTCAGCACCAGTCTGCACCAGTGCCTGTGGCGTGGCACCGGGCTGTGGGAGGGGCGGCTTTGTCTCCACACACGCATGAAGGTAGGTTTGCTACTGAATTAAACTGCACAGATACACGGCACGTCTGAGTCAGCGTGTCACTAGCAGGAGGCAGCAGGCGAGAGGTGCCGGGGAAGACAGGCCAGGCGGGGGAGGGTGTGTATCTCAGCAGCGACTCGGTTCTGGGGGTGGGCCTGGAACCAGACAGCAGCAGAACTAATCCAGTGTCCCATCCTGGTGGCAGGGGCTGGGGCCATGGGGACAGCAGCAGCTCATTACGCCCCTGGAGCCAGATGGCAGCAAGTCTCTGTGCAAGGATACTCCTCGGGGGCCTGAGCCCAGAGCTGCAGGTCGCGTTCCATGGGAACGACTCCAGCAGGGAAACCGAGCGGGGCTGGCGACTGCCCACGGCACTGTCGCCCCGGCGAGTCCCCGTGCGCCCAGGGGGACGGCCCGTACCTCCACAGAATAGGACATGTTGTCATTCGTGGTGTCACTGATCCGGGAGAAGAGGTCCTCACACAGCTGCAGCAGACAAGGAGAAAAGCAGAGGGCTGCTTACATCCCCGTAATGCAGCCAGAGCCATTCGGGGGCGGGGGGGCAGGAAACAAGGGCTCTTCCTTGTGCCCCAGAAACGGGAGCAGCAGAAAGGCAGCTCAGAGTGGAGGGGCCCGTTCTCTGTGCTTGCTCACATGCAGGGCCCGATTAAGACATGCTGAGGCCCTAAGCCAGGCCTGGGCAAAATACAGCCCATGGGCCCACCAAGCCACCAGATCCGGCCTCCGGATGCTGCGGGGAGCCCCAGGCAGGCTGCCTGCTTGCCTCGCCCCACCCTCACACCTCTCAGAAACGCGGCTGAGGGGCGGTTTCACTTTAAAAACTGAGCCTGGAGGGGAGGGGAGAAGCTTTAGGAGCTGCTGCCACCCCCAGCACAATCCCATTGGCCGGCTTCTGGCCAGAAACTGGCCAATGGGAGCTGCCTGTTTTAATAACAGGCAGCCACGAAGCACAAGGGGCTCCTAGTTATTCACAGAGCACATGGCTGCAGCCTGGGCAGGGGCAGGGCAGGCAGGGAGGCGGATTCAGGAATGCGCTGCTGGCTGGTAAATCTCCTGGCCAGAGGCTACCTCTGGCATCCCCGCCCCTCCCTGCCCCAACCCTCTGCCCCCAACCCCACATAACCCAATCCTCTGCCCCCCTCCTGCACCCATACACCCTCCCAGATCCGGCACCCTACCCCAGATCACAGTCCCCTCCTGCCCCGGCTCTCAGCCCAAATCCTTGCACCCTGTCCTGTATCCCAATTCCCTGCCCTAGCTCACAATCCAACCCCCTGCACCCCCAGTCCAGTGCCAAAAATGTATCTTATTCTAACCAAAAGGACAACGGAAATAGAAACGGTGAGGTTTCGTATTTGCACGCACGCTGCGATGTAGGCGAGGCTGTAACTAAACTGCTCCTGTCTAGAAGCCCTAAGCTGTGGCTTGCTTACTTTGTGCATAAATCCAGCGCCTGGTTCTGAGCAACACCTAGAGTAAGCGGCACAGTCAAAGATGCTTCAGGGCTGTGGAGTTAAATTGCATTGGCTCAGTGGTGAGCCAGACCCTTGTGGCCAGGCTGATGCCTGGGAGCTCTCCCCTGCCCTGCGTGGGGTCCGAGGAGGGTCAGTGCGCACCCGCGGGAGTGTAACCGGGGGCACGGTACGACTCAGCCACTCAGCGCAAAGGCTCCCTGGCCACTTGGGCCTCCCCCCGCCTCATCTGCTACTGACGCTTCCCCCCCAGCTCTGTTCTCGGCAGGTCTGGGGTCTCCCTTGCGCTGCCCTGACCCTTTCCAGAAGCCCCAAAGGCCACTCCCCAGATGCTGGTGGCCACAAGAAGCTCATGCCCTCTGCATGGACTCCCATCCTAAGCACCCTGCTTTGCCTCCCCTCCCCGAGGGGAGAGAGCCCAGGAGACGAGGCGCTGTTCTTCCTCCCAGCCTGCCCCTTGTCAATTTCCTGGCAGCCATTTTTGGGTCAAGTTTCCTATGTGGCTGCTAAGAGAACAGCTGATCTGCTCCTGTGCTAGCTGGAGCTGCAGCCCTGTTCTCACTCCTCGGCCCTGCTACAGCTGATAGTCTCTATGTGTCACAGGACCCCTCGTTTCCTCCGTCCTTGCCACCCTCAGCCGGATTCAGTACCTGCCACCTGTCTCCTCACTAGCGCTCAGCAGCTCCAGGTGCCTCACGTGCCGGGAGCGACAGCCACCCTGCCCCAGCAGCCTCCGCCTCGGCCCCCGCAGCAATGGGTGTTCTGTGCTCACAGCCAGCAGCGCACTCCACCCCCACGCCCGGGGCACACCTGCGGGATGATGCCTTGCTGATCCTTCTCCTGCCTCCCCATCATGGTGTAGGACTTGCCAGCACCGGTCTGCCCATAGGCGAAGATACAGACATTGTAGCCCTCAAAGGCGTGCTGCAGCATCTCCTCCCCGATGTCCTGGTACACCTGCTTCTGAGAGGCATAACTGGTGTCTTCGGGCTGCGGGGGGAGGGGAGCAGGGAAACAGAGTCAAGGGGACAGAAGGACAAAGAAAGAAAGAAAAACCAGAAAAATGGGAGCGGAGTTACGTTGCTCTTGTCCCACCCTACTGGAAGTCAGAGGAGAACCAGAGCCAAGATTAGGGTCTCATTCTCCGTTCTGAGTCGCTCGTGTAGCCAGAGGGAGGCACACGGCCGTCCCTAGCAAGTTTTACCGACTGGGGAGGGGATCCTTTAGCGTCCAGATGCAGGATCACCAAGGGAACCAACTCAGCCCCATTCAAAGTTACGTTGCTCTTGTCCCACCCTACTGGAAGTCAGAGGAGAACCAGAGCCAAGATTAGGGTCTCATTCTCCGTTCTGAGTCGCTCGTGTAGCCAGAGGGAGGCACACGGCCGTCCCTAGCAAGTTTTACCGACTGGGGAGGGGATCCTTTAGCGTCCAGATGCAGGATCACCAAGGGAACCAACTCAGCCCCATTCAAAGCTCTTGGCTTCCTGGCCAAGGTACAGATAATGCAAATGGGGATAACAGGGGTGCTCTCATGCACTTGGGGAGTTCCTGGACTAGACTGTCCCACCAAAACCGGGCATACCCCTGTGAGGATCTGGGGCCGCCTCAGAGCGGGAGCTTTTCCCACGGGAGCGCCTGTGCTTTGCCATTCACACCTCTCCAGCGCTCAAGGGGCCTGGCTTTGTTGCAGCGCAAAGCCCCATCATTCCGGGCAGCGTGACGGGGCCAGCGAGGGGTTAATACAGCCCTAGGCAGGCTGTGCGGAAAGCTGGTGTGTCCTGGTTAAAAGCTCTCTCAGAAATGCTCCCTCCAACACAGCCGGCTAGCTACCACATTGGGTGCTCTGTAGGCTCCTATGAGCACAGAGGAGGCCGGGAAAGGGAAGGCGAAAGAAC